AGCCGGTGGGAACACGTTCGCTCATTATATTCTCGTTCCCACTGTGTCCGTGTGGCCCGAAGGGAACCCGCGGTTCTGCTCAGTCTGTGCTGGAGAACATCACATCTAAACTGACCAGCGTTCAGCTCAAGATATGGACTGGACACCTGTCTCTGAGTCCAGTCAGTCCAGTCAGTCAGTCGGTCGGTCAGTCAGTCGGTCAGTCAGTGCTTGGGATGTTTGATCCAGTTTCTTATCATCCACTTCTGTCCTGAACACCTCTGGACCACCAGACGGAGGCCAAAATTAGCGTCTTTGGACATTTCCACCTCCAAACATCGGCCGCTGTCCCTGTTGATGATTGGACCATTCTGAAAACCAAAAAAAAAACCATATAAAAACATCACAGCAGTTATTGGAATAGCACTGGAACAGTTATGGCTGTGAAGGTGATGCCACACGGACAGGAAGTAGCGTCGCTAGTTATTATGTTGCCCTCTTCTGGTCCCACAAGGGGGTCACGCCCCTGCACAGTTCTCCAGACAATCAGGAGGGAGGAAACAGGGGAATCTGGAGGAGCCTCGTGTTTGACTTGTCTCGCATTTGTATGGCGCCACCTTCAGTCAACTCCAGGAAAAACAAAATTGGTCTGTTTTCTTTTTTTGTTTTTTTTTCTTTACCTGAGTGAAGTCCCAGAGTCTTTGACCGATCCTTGAAACAGTATTGCATTTCTTCAGACTGGGTGTGCGTCCCCTGCCGTCGTCCACCAGACATTTTGTGTCCGGCAAGAAGGTCGTGGATCCCAGGGGTCCGAGCTGGAGGAGCCCCTCGGTTGAGTAACGGGCGAGCTGCAACACAGGCACAGGAGGTGAGGTACTCCAAGAACATGTTACTGAACACGGTGTGGAATACGATGTTACCAGAGAACACCTGACCATCTACAGTATGACAGTGAAAAACTATATATAATGCAGCAGCCATCTGGTTTCCCTCAATAAAATGTCCATAAATGTCCCAGGGTGGACATAAAACCTTTCAGGTTGTTCACATTTACTGAAGTGTTGTGTCTGACCTGAGAGGACATGCCGTGGCAGGGGTAGAGGATGGCCTTGTCGTCTTCCTCAGAGCCCTGGTCCAGACAGTAGCCGCTTGCTTTGCTGTTTCTCACCTTGGACAAAGTGTTAAGACAAGGTCAAATGAGTAACTATCGAAAAAAGGTTACTTCCTCGGACACAGGTGCCGATCATGATGTCGGTGAAGATCTCACCTCCAGATTAGTTGTCAGCGAAGTACAAACTGTAGTCGAACTATTAAAGGATGTCTGATAATATCGGTCGACCAATATTAGCCGACCGAATATTAGCATAATTATCTGATATCTGTGGGGTTTGGAGATGTTTACCTTGGCAGTAGTTGCCGGCCGGCGTTGGTCTCACCTCTCCATATGTGATGGTGTTGTTGTAGATCCTCATCTCTGGGTAGACGTGGTCCAGGTACCAGCGGAAACTCCGACAATGTAGCTTCTTCCTTAGGGCCAACCTCTCTGAGACGTCCCCGAAATCCACCCCTGGGTTCTGTTGGTTGGTGTGGAGAACAAAGTCAAAGGTGGAACAAAAAAATGTGACTCATTGTTTGAAGAGGTGTAGGAGGGATGGGGGTGGAGGGGGGTACTCACATTCATGGGGATGTTCCAGGCCATGTAGACGTGGGACTTGTATTCGTCCATCCACACCTCGGCAGCCCGCAGAGCGTTGCGCTTGGCGTAGTAATCTATGTCGTTGTTGTAGGGCTTCTTGGTGCGCTCAATGTGGGCCACTCTGGCACAGGGCAGGACCTCCATACTGCCCCCACACTGCCACACCTAAGAGAACCAACGTAGCAGTGAGATGTGAAAAGTGACTCCACTGCACATCACCAAAGGTGACCCCTGCCTTTTAACCCATCACCAAAGTCAGCAGGGGGCAGCATAAGCTCCTGGGTGCCACCGTGTGGGGACGGCTAAGTTGGTGGACTCGAACCTGAAACCTTCCAACCTGAAACGAAGTCCGCTTCCTTAACCACCAAGCCACCACTGCCCTCGACGTCTGAGCCGACAGATCAGTGGACTGAGACCACACCCACACTGCTGCAGGGATGTGACCCATATCTGGTATACTGTACCAGATATGAGTCACATGTGATATATGATATAGATATGGGTACAGTATATCTGGTATATATGTATATATATATATGCATATATATGTATATATGTATATATATATATACACATATATACACACATATATGTATATATATATACATATATACACATATATATGTATATACAGCATATACATATGTGTGTATATATATATATACAGATATAGACACATATATGTATATATGTACACTGGAGATCAAAATTAGAGAACAACTCATAAAAAATGGAATAATTCTGAAATAATACCATCTTCACTGTTCCACAGTTAAATGACATTTTATTGTGTCTATATCATTGTACGACAACACTTTTTTTCACAAAATGACTAAAGGTATTTCGCAAAAAAAATATTTTCAGAAAATGCACTGATCAAAATTAGAGAACACAAGTGATCAAAATTAGAGAACAACCATGACTTTGTCTTGGAAAAAAAAATCTGAAGGTTACAACAGTCAGCAATTAATAAGAAGTATACAGGCCTCTGCTGTGAATGACTTCAGCACATCTGCGGCCACAGGATAGCACTAGTCTCTCACACTGCTCTGGTGTGATTTTGGTCCATTCTTCTTCCAGTCTCCTCCACAGTTCGGTGATTGTAGTGGGTTTCTTGGCCATAACTTTGTCACCTAGGATTTTCCAGAGGTTCTCTATTGGATTGAGATCAGGACTCTGGGCAGGCCATGCCATTAATTCAATGTTTTGACCTTCAAGGAAAATCTTTACCCGTTTTGCTGTGTGACACGGGGCATTGTCCTGCATGAAGATTGCAGGCTGATTGGGCGATGAACGCAAGTGAGGAACCATGTGCTGTTGAAGAAGGTTCTGATACACATTTGCATTCACTCGGCCATGTAGCTGTACAAGAGGCCCAACTCCTGCTGCAGAAAACATGCCCCAAACCATGACACTTCCTCCTCCACCTTTCACTGACTTTTTAACACACTTTGGGTTTAGTCTTTCTCCAATGTGTCGCCGAACATAATGCTTCCCATCAGACCCAAATAAATTAAATTTGCTTTCATCACTGAAGTGAACTCTGGACCAGTTCTCCTCAGTCCACACAACATGCTCCTCAGCAAAGCTCAGTCTAGCTTTTTGATTTTTTCGGCTAATGAGAGGTTTGGTCACTGCAGTGTGGGCCTTCAGTCCAAATGCTGTTAAACGGCGAGACACTGTATGGCGAGACAGATCCTTACCATGTTCAGCACTGAAATGGCGAGCAATTCCAGCTGCAGTGTGGAAACGATTACCCATTGACATCCTCCGCAGTGACCTGTCCTCTCTTGCATCTGTCTTTCGTGGACGACCAGCCTTCTTGGGCGACTTGAATGAGTTTGTAGTTTTGTAAAGATTCAATATTCTTGAAATCACAGATTTGGAACGACCAACTTGTCTTGCTATGGCTGATAGGGTCATCCCGTTGGTTTTCATCTGGACAACCTGCTGCCGGAGGCCTTCAGTCACTTTAGAACGGCCCACCATCTTGCAAAGTCAGTGAAACTAGCAGTTAGAATGCCAGTTAAATAAGGGTTGACAGATAATCAAGGAAATTAGCACCATGTGCTTGATTAGCACCATTAAGTGGGAGGCACCTGAAAGTGTTCTCTAATTTTGATCAGTGCATTTTCTGGAAAATATTTTTTTTGCGAAATACCTTTAGTCATTTTGTGAAAAAAAGTGTTGTAGTACAATGATATAGACACAATAAAATGTCATTTAACTGTGGAACAGTGAAGATGGTATTATTTCAGAATTATTC